TTTTACCCAGTGAAGAGTACGCCCGTCCAAGCCATGAGCAGCCAGTTTCTCCAGGAGAATGCTGTGGGAGATGGTGTCAAAGGCTTTACTAAGGTCCAGGTAAACAACATCCACAGCCTTTCCCTCATCCACTAGGCAGGTCACCTTGTCATAGAAGGAGATCAGGTTAGTCAAGCAGGACCTGCCTTTCGTAAACGCATGCTGACTGTGCCTGATCCCCTGGTTGTGCCGTACATGCCGTGTGATGGCACTCAAGATGATCTGCTCCATAACCTTCCCTGGCATTGAGGTCAGGCTGACAGGCCTGTAGTTCCCTGGATCCTCCTCCGGCCCTTCTTGTAGATGGGCATCACATTTGCTAACCTCCAGTCAACTGGGACTTCCCCGGTTAAGAGAAATTGTTGCTTGCCCTACAGGGTGGAAGTAATTTAAATGACTTTTGCTGGTTTTCCTCCTCCCTTCTCTTTCTATCAGATGAAAGAATGAGAAGGGATCTTTTTCTTTGCTGGCTTCTACTTTGAGAAGATGGAGTTAAAACTGAATCTGTATCATTCTGCTTCTCACTGGCTATGTCAGAGTCACATCACAGTAAGACCCATTTACACCCGTTCCTCTGATTTCTCACATTCTAGTTTCCAAGGAAAGGAAATTTAGGACTGTGTACTGGGTTGGAGATGCAGTGCAATTTGGACAGGTTCCTCAACAGCTTTTCTGGACACTACCACATACAGAGGCAAATACAGGCTCTGTCAGGTGTAGCCGGCTCCTGGAAATGGATGGGCTGCTGGTGATTATTATTTGCTTCCTAGACCACATGTCAGGGAACATTATTTTTTTTAAAATCTGATCACATCATCTTGGATTATAGTCCATATAATGTATTAAAAGTTAACAGAGTATTTCAGAGGTGACAGCTTCAAGTTTGCCTACAGTCAGACCCCACAAGTTCTTACGCAGTGCATCTTCCTACCTGATCAATCAAAATTATCTCACAAATTCTCATACACTCCTAGGACAATTTTGACAATTTATAGTCCAACGCTGTGGATCAATCTTATGTATTTTTCCTCTGTGAAGTAATATATTTATGCTACTTGTTTTTTGGGTTCAAATCCACTGAATTGTAATCTTGTGGGAAATTACTCAGCGTAGGCGTCTTATCAACCCATATTAGAGTGTTCCTGTACATGAGAATCATTCACAAGAATAAAATCCTTAAAATCTGAGCTAAAAGGCAGAGAAAAGTGGACAAAGGACATTAATTTTTACACCCTGTCCTGGTTTTGGCTGGGGTAGAGTTTTCTTCCTAGTAGCTGGTATAGTGCTGTGTTTTGGATTTCGGATGAGAATAATGTTGATTGATAACACACTGATGTTTTAGTTGCTGCTGAGCAGTGCTTACACTAATTCAAGGACTTTTCAGCTCCTCATTCTGCCTTGCCGGAGAGTAGGCTGGGGGTGCACAAGAAGCTGGGAGGGGACACAACCAGGACAGCTGACCTAAACTGGCCAAAGGGATATTCCATATCATATGACACCATGCTGAACAAAAAAACTGGGGAGAGTTGGCTGGGGTGGCGTGGCCACTGCTTGGGAGCTGGCTGGGCATTGGTCAGCAGGTGGTGAGCAATTGCATTGTGCATCACTCGCTTTGTATATTCTTTTATCATTATTATTATGTTCCCTTCCTTTTCTGTCCTATTAAATCATCTTTATCTCAACAAGTTTTACCTTTTTTCCAATTCTCTCCCCCATCCCACTGGAGGTAGTGAGCGAATGGCTGTGTGGTGTTTAGCTGCCTGCCAGGTTAAACCACAACACACTCTAACAATTAAAATATCGGAACTAAGCAGGTTTTAAAGATTTTAAATCCTCCCTGTGAGGGAGGATTTGAGACCCTCAGACAAGGAACTCAGGTTGATAAGTCTCTGTTCATTCAAAAATAAGATTTGGATGAGGAGTGGTGCGTTCTTGAGACTCTCAGCAAAACTAAGCTTTTGAAGTCAGGCATAATACTACCCTTAATTCTGGGCATGAGAGCAAGTTCTGCTTGTTTTTTGTTTTTTTCACTTAGCATCTGAGTCATCTCACAAGGAAGACAGGAGCTGCAGTGCAATGTGCTGCATTACTATAGCATTTGCCAGGAGGTAGTGGTCATGGCATTTAAAACTAAGATGATAACAGGGAGGAACAGGTCACTCCAGCATGAAATGAAGAAACAGAAGTTGAATCAAAAAAAGGGAAAAAAGAGAGACACTAAGTTCATATGAAAAATAATGACGATTAGAGAGAGCCTCCAGCTAGTGGGAAGCGGTTCTTTTCACCACAGAATAAGTTTTATAGCCCTGTGGGCCTCTCTGAAGATTTGCGCACTTCCTCTCAATGATGAATACTATTATTCCAAGAAATACCGCTTGTAGAACTTGATTTCTAAGCTAATATCGTGTTACAGGGTAACTGTGATTAGACAATCTGTGATGTAGAACTTTGGAAAAAAGCTGTATTCTTCAATAGTAAAAGAAAAATATGGCAAATTCTGGGAGAACGCTAGTGGACCTGTTTTTTTGAATATACAGCTTTATGCAATTAGAATTAGGCAGAGATTTCCAAGAAAGGTTTTTATGTCTCACTTCTCATCCTGGCTAGTTACAATCAGAAAATTTGCTTGCTGTGGAGATGATCCTTTCCATTCAATATCTTCCCCCACATAGCAGCTGGCTTACTTGGTTGAGTAATTATTTCTCCTGTTCTATGGTACAGGTAGCAGACAGACAAAGCCAACAGTGCAGAAGACATAATAATCAGATCATTAGACCTGACACTTACTTCATACTCCTCTTTGAATCCATAGCCTTCTGCACACTTCATTTGGGTGATGTGCTGTAGCAAGTCAGCTACACGGATGGCTGGATGAAGCTGTCCGGTCTGGTAGGGCACATCCACTGGATCTCGCTTCTTGTAGGTATGGGATTGGACCAGGCTGCTTGTGTCACTGACCATCGTATGGGTTTCATCTAGAAAAAGAGTATCTCATAATGTACTGGCTTATTTTCACTTACTAATAGAAATATAAATTACACAGATTTCTAGAGGAATGGCAGAAATCTGACACCATCAGTATTGCTTCTGTCTGTGAAGGCTACATCAAAAGAACAGTAAATCCATGGAGCAGTTTACACAGGGAAATTGCAAGACTGATTGGAATGAGGCAAAGTCCATGGTTCTACAATGGAAGCATTGCAGAGCAGTCCGAACTCTAATATTGTTTTAAATATCACTAGCTGATTACAAACCGGTTTTAAATTAGGCATTTGGTTCTAAACTGCATAGAAGTTTCATTCTGAAACTTCAACAAGTCCCATAGAATGAAATTGGACTTGTATTCTTCTTAGATTACTGAGGTGCTATATTTTACACTGCAAATTTAGAGCAAATGTTTGGAGTGAGCAAAATAAAAAGATGCACAAAATGGCTTATGGTTTCATCAAGCTAGGACTGCAATGGAAATGTAGATCTGATACAACATTTGGAGACGAACTACGGGAGGACAAATGCAAAGGATCATCGGATCAGGAAAAATGTCTTGACTGGCTGCTGAACATGCTTTAGGACCACAGTATATCATGAGCCATCACATTAGGCATGGAATGTTATATGTCAACTGACATGCAAGCCAACAAACAGGAGAACCCAGTGGGCTGGTTAAAATTTTTATGAGACACATACTCTCCCAACCCTCCACATCTCTTCCATGGGGCAAATGGGCAACTTACCATTGATTGGCACTTTTAAGAAGATACATATCAGGAGAAAAAAAGAGGAGGAGAAAAAGGAAACAGGGCATAAGCAACAGTACTGCATTAATAATTACAGGTAATTTTATGTTTGTAATTTAGTCTTTACAGAGTGATTTCCTAAATGAGTCAGATTCTGATCTCAGTTTCACAGTATAAATTAAATATACTGAAACCAAGGTATCTTACTGTGAGTCAATTCACACAGATGCAACTGAGATCAAAACTTATACTTAGCAGTAAATAGACAGATGTGAAAGTGCACTCTACCTAAGGAAGCAATATGCCTTTCTTCCTATTTAGATGGAATTTTAAAAATTTGTTCAAACTTGACAAGAGAAAAAAAACAACCCAAATTCGAAGGTCCAAGTATTTTCATAAATATTTTTTCTGTTTACCCAAATAATAATTTTACATATCTCAAAGAGTTTTTGATTTTTAACTGAAATTGTAAATGCGGTGCTTTGACTTATGCAAACTACTCCTCACTGGCTACACACTAAACATAGCAAGGGGTTTATTAAAATACTGTATTTATTAAAAAATTATTACTTTGTAAAATATGTTCTATGAAAGGGAAGCATTAAAATAATATTTCCAAATTCATAAGTTAGATATATTATAGCAGAAAGTTCCACAAACACTCTGGATGAAAAGGTCGCAGCTACACACCAAAAACACTACTACGCCTCATTAAAGGTGAGATTCTGGTCTTAGGTACACCATTGAAAATTGATGTTAAAGCCACAAAGCTCAACGAATCATATTTCAAGGATGATTTTAGGTTCTCTCAATTCACACTGATACTAAGACACATAAAATCTGGTCCTCAGTAAACGTACAGTCAATATGAACTGTGCATTTAAACCTAAACCAAAAATAACAGAGAAAATTTATGGGTATGAGTATGGGCATTTCACTGCTTTTCCTGCCAGTTTGCTAACCTGTTCTAATGCAGAGGAAAAGGATTCATCTTTTAGTCATAAAATTTGACAACTTTTGTTTAATGTGTGATAAAATTGTACTGCAAAGCACCTTGGGATGCATGGCATGAAGCGTGGTATACAAGTGTAGGTACAGTATGTTGCTGTTGAAATGGCACCTGAAAACTACAAGGTGGCTAAGACACAAAAGACAAAAAAAAGTGTAGGAAGTTGATCATGAGTTTTTGGGTAGCTTATTTCAATTTTAGAAACAGGTTAGAAAACTTGGGTTTTTTTTTCAAACTACAGAATTCCTTGTAACACAGACTGTTAGTAACTAAGATGAAGGCAAAGTCATCAGATAGCAGGGTCTTGTGCTATGAAAGCAGCAGTTTAATCCTTATGAATCTATTTCCTGTGAGCTCCTTTGTTTTAGACTGATTTTCCTCTCTCCATTTCTTTATCTCTTATAGCTGCATTAATACTATTTTTCTCTGGGAGCAATCTTTTAAGTTGTTTTAAATAAAGTGCTTTCAATCCTTGGTTTATATGGTACATTAGGAGCCAAGTGTATTATAGTTCTTTGCTTTGCCTTTGAGCACTGTAGCATGAGCATTTCAGGCATAACAGTCCACTGTTTTTCAAAGGGTGAGCTCCTCCAGAGGCAGTGTTCATATGCAACGGGAAGTTTGTCCAGCTTAAATACTCCTACAGCTGCAGTTGTTTGACTCTCCACTTACTCATTCCCATAGAGCTGTACAACACATTATATAATATATTTATTCACTAGTTATATGAACTCATGGCATGGAAGGTATCTGGGAACCTAGCCCAATATCTTTTCTGGGCTGAGACTCTTTTCTTTCTCCAATTTCAGAAATATGCACATCGTTGATACTAGACAAACATGACCTACACTCAGGGTCAGCAGCTATAAATTTAGCCACTGTTATGTAAAGTGTTTTTTTTTAATCTCAGGCTTTCACTTAGGTTATTAGGCTAAGCATGAAGGTTTTCCCTCAAATGTAAGAAAATTTCCTCATATCTGAAACTGAGAAGTCAGACTGTTGCCTTTTGCATAATTTAAAGAGTTCACCACTAATTATCAGTCTTTTTTTTTTTTTTCAATTGGCTAAGAAGTTCCTGATTTGCATGAATAGTCCAAAGATCTTGCTGTACATAAATTTGGAAATGGTAAGTGTGTTGTGGCCTTTCTAGCACATTTTGAAACTAAACTCAACCATTCACCAGACCTGTACCCTTCCCAGGAGGTCACACCGAAAAGTTCATTTAGTTCTAACTACAGCCTTGACCCTGCAGTCTAACACAACTTCTTTGGACACTGGAAGACAGCAAGAGCAGGTATTAGTTGCAATTAAAACCCAGCATTTTTTGTTAATAGCTATATTCCTCTACAGACTCAAGCATAGCTAATTTGATTTACCCCAGATAAAACACTTCCTATACAGGCAGTCATAAACACATTTTGGGCGAGAGACCTGGTCTGAATGGAACACCACTCATAAAAGGGTACTAAATTTTTAACACGTAAGGTTACAAAAATATTCATTTTCCACAGTGAAGTAACTGGAAGATTTTCTGAGATAAGTAAGCACAGGTTGCTGTAGTAGACCATAAAATACATATCTAACTAATTCAAGATTTTACAGACTTCGTAAAAGCAAAGAATTTTTTTCCCAGTGTATGTTTTTCTGATATCTGAATCACTTGCTTAGAGATTATTTATTGGGGGAAAAAAAGCTAAAAAATAATTTTACCACCATTATTATATAGCAAAGGATCACAAAAAAAGTCAGAGAAACGATTAACTAAAACTAATAATCCAGATAGGAAATCTCAAAGTTTTTCTCCTGATAATAGTACTTTTCTCCTTGCCCACCCACAAGGTCAGAAAGAACATCTACTGGATGAAGCGTTGAATGAATGCTAAAGCACACAAAAAAATCTAACATCTCAGGCAGTTAAAAGGCACTGCAAATTTCATTTGCATGCAGATTATTACATTGTTACAGTCACTACCGTTACCTTCTTCCAGATTTACATAATGTATAAAAACGCACAAGTTCCTTCTCCAAGTTATCACACTGAAATGCACTGCACTAAATGTTCTTTCACAATAACAAATGAATTCAAGATTACCTTCCTAAACTTCTACTTCTCACATGTTTCACTCTACTTCTACTGAAGCCTGTTTAACTTACAGTTTAAGGGCAGGAATGAGTCAAAGGGTCTTATATTTTTACAGTGATTTGAAGAAAAAGGAGGAGAAAGAAAAATATTTGTTGCAAAAATATAAATCATTGTAAAAAGAGTAAATAGACAGGCTTAACATTGGAGTTTGAATTCTTGCTCGTGTCATATTTTGACTTCTTATTTTAAAAAAATCTCCCTGTTTAGTTTAAAGTTAGTATGGGAAGGAGGTGTAAATGAATACAAGCCACAAAGTGGTTAGAGTTACTTAAGCATTGAAAATGCAATAGCGCCTCATGCTTATTGTTTTATCACTGTGCAGAAACCTCTCTCTTTTTGACATTGGACAATAGCAAGTTTTCCTAAATTCCCAGTGGAAGTGCTTTACACTTTAACTGAATGTTTTTAACCTACAGTTCTACTTATTTCATTCCTGTGACACCTGATGCATAATAAACTATATACTCTAAGTGTCATGTTATCATTTTGCTGTTCAAAATACCATCTCTCCTCAGAAACTTCACTTTGACAAGCATGTCAGAAACTGTGGGGTATTGTGAGAAGAAATGATAGCTGGTGGATGGCCAAAACTGTATTTTGTCTGATTTTCTGTATCATGAATAGTCTAATTAGGAAAAAATGTTATTTTTAAGAAGTGACATCTTAACGGAAAAAAATGAGGGAAACTATTGCTGCGATAATCAAATTCTTTTGTGTCACTCCAAATACATGCATAAACATTTCCTCGCAAATCCACTTGTTAAAATTATTTCTCTCTTTTCTCCCCTGACTTGCACTATGACAGTAGTAATCAAGCCTGATAACTGTCCTTAGCATTCTCGGTGTAGCCAAGCCTACCACCCCTCCCTTCAGCATAAAACTCTAGCTTTTTGCATTGTCTGTACCCCGAGATCTGTGACTTTCTAAATTACTTCAGCAATAAGCTTTGATAAAGGGAAATGTTCTCACCTAAAATTGCAGTTGGCACAAATGGATCTGTCATACATCATAAGCAGGTCAATGCAGAAAAGGTAAAAAGAGAGAGAACAGTAAATGATTGATAAATGTTCCCGAGTTTTCTTTCAGAAAGCTACTGTAAGCAACCAGTATGTTGCTTACATATGTATTAAATTTCTATGGCAAGGAGTATAACAACGTAATTATGTATGCTTTTATTACGAAAAGGTCTATATAGGGTAGAAACCAGGAAAAAATCGGTTACCTGGGTAATAAGAATTAGGCACTGTTGTGCTCAGTGTGTTAGTTTTCATTGTAAATGAAGATGGTGAAGATACAGCTGCAAAGAGAAACAAAGCTGGTTAGAGACAGCGAAGTGATACGCGGCTATTTAAGCTGAGTGATACAGCGTATGTGATTGACTTCGTTTAGAGTCCGTCCTGTTGTGTTTGCTGCACTGGAATCAGGACCTAGGGAAAACCAGGTATGTCTAGTGAATAAAATAGCTCATTGAATTTGATCAATTCTCTAAAAAGAAATGCCATCAGAGAAAGCATTTTGATCAGTGATGACAAATATTAAATCACAAGATTAGACTGAATACTGATGCTTGAATAAAGACATCACAACGTCAACAGGTGTTTTTGACAGAAGCTTTGATCATTAGTAAGTTTACTTAATAATACTATAAATACTGTATGCAAATATTCTACTATAGTTCATTTTTTCCTCTCCTTTTTTTTTGATTTGTTCAGAGAGGTGGATAATGTGTACACAGATACTATCATGCCCTGAATATTACTCTTTATTTAACAATGGTTTTCAGGGAGTGATACCTAGACCATTGCTCACATTGGTATTTAGTCATTTAACCATTTGTAAAACCTATGGGAAAACCCAATGCAGCAAATTAAGTTCAGTTAGTTCCCTGGTATACAAAGATCGTGTGAATTACCGTTGTAAGCACAGATACATTCAACAGGTGGGAGTTAATCACAATATTTTACAGAATGTTCAGCCAAAGAGTCATTAAAGGCTTTTAAGCAAAGCTCATTGCAAATTCAGCCTTAGTTGCTTGTCTAAACAGCTCAAATTCAGTTGGATCAGTGAATGCAAGCACGTTACAGATACCTATATACAGACTAACAGGAATTAGTGAAACAAAAGTAGAATTGAGGAAGACAGGAGCTTCTGGATGAGAAGGAGTGAGATTACTCCTGCTGGCTTTCATCCACCTTTTTTTTGGTTGATCTTCTAGGGCATACAGTTGCCAGCCCTTGTTGGATGGAGCTATCTGAAAACTGGCTTAAATAATGCTGTCAGTTATCACTTATCCTATAAATGAATATATCTGAGAGTACTTTCCTTTGATTATGTCTCCTGAATCACTGGATGGAAAGAACAGAGTTGTATTCCTTTTGGGCATGGATGCAGACATTAGTTGAGGTCAGGGCTGCTGCAGCTAATAAAACTGGCTAGATACAGAATACAGCCAGGGTAATAAACTTTCATAGGAAGTAGGGATGTTCTAAATCTCTTGAGTACAAGGCCTTACACAAAGATTATTCCTAAAGACTGTCAGACTGCTTCTTCTGGTGACCACATTTCTTACGGAAAGTCTAATTAGAGGTTCTAGCCCCCAAGTGGTATAAAATACTTGCTAGGCCAATAATTTCAAATTGGTTTAAGGTGGTTTACACAAAGAGGATTTAGTCCCAGGAACTCATTGCAGCTTCTTTGGTTGTTGTGACCATTCAGTAACACCATTGGAAAACTACATCACGATGATGGAAGATGAAGTCAAACCTCTTATCTCTCCACAGAAGTAAGCAATCTCATTAACTGCAATGGTATATTCTCACCAGAAAGGCAAGTCAGATTTTGAAAGATCTATTTCAAAACAATTTCAAAAGTAACTCAAACACAAATTAACATTGGAAATTCTGAGCCTAACGCTGCTGAGAGAAGTCTCGCTGTATAAACCTCACAGAGTGTTTGTACAATTGAGCTCATCAAAGATAAGTTCTTAAGCATATTATTACAGCCTGGGACTTGGGCCTCACAAACTGTTAATACTTGAAACAAAATTCAATCTTTGACAAATTCTGAAGATGTTAAAAAACACTGGTATACAAGAAAAACTGAGGTTCCTTAAGAACTACAAAAAACAAGAAAGTTTTTTGAACATAGTAATTCTTTTTTCATTCTTTTTAACAATTATAAAAAACTTCTGTTTTTCCTGGTCTTTGCTTAGTGCTAACTCCCAGACAGGAGTGAGTGGTTGACTAAAATTCTAATACAGGAGATTTTATATCCCAAACTTTATTTATTTTCAGGGTAGATCCAAGAAGACCCAGGATATTAGAGAATCTCTTATGGAATTGCAGAACAGATAATTCCACTGAGTTCTTCCTTTGCACAAGCAATGGAAAGAGCATCATCTAGAATTGGAAATAATAAGACAATCAGATCACCATTATTAAGTTATGACTTAATAACTTAATTAAAATAAATTTCGCCTACAAAAAAAGAAGTGAGCAAGGGAAGCATTTGAAGGACTCGGGACAGCATGAGGGATATAAAATTTTTAACGTAATAGAGATTGGAGAAAGGTAAAACTACAGCTGTTTCAGTAATGTCTTTGTTCTTCTGCAGAAGAAAAGGATGGACAGAAAAAAGCTCAATTATCCTTATTATTTTTAAAGAAGTCTATTCTTGATGTCTGTCTTGCTCATTCGAATACACACTGTAATGTGCTGCACAGTGGGAAATGCTGGGTCCCATGGATTTTCCATGACTGAGTAATGAGGAATATTTTAAAAACCATTTGCATTTTTCTTCCACCTTCCAAAAAAAAAAAAGAAAAGAAAAGAAAAGAAAAAACTTACATCTCCCATTTAGATTGTGCGTGTCCATGAAAGAGAAAGCTTCGTCACAGTTGGTGCCTTGCTCAGTGTAGCTTTTATCCATTGAATTCACCATCACTGTCATTTCCTGCCGTGTACTACTCAATGTCTCTTTCCGCTTTTTAGCCAATTTTCTTAAGAAATGAATGTTGAGAAAAAAAAAAGAAAAAAACGAACATTCAGTGAGCAGACATAGTCTTCATGTTGTTTAGATCAGTACTGTAGTTTGTAACCACATTATTAAGCAACATACTTACAATTATTCCTGCATTTCTGGAAACTTAAATTGATTTCACACTCATGTCTTTCAACAGCATCTGATAATCAAGGGATAGTTGCCAATGCCCTGACTTACGGTGAACAGCACCTTAATCCTTGGGGACCACCACTGAATTAAAGGGGACTACTTGGATACAAAGGTGATGTGAGCTACTGTATCAGAGGCTACATCCGTTTAAATACATAAATAAAAATTATAGGAGAGAAGATTTCACTGGAAGTGACAAATCAGTAACAATTCTCACTTCACATGCATAGAACTGTCCGGAGCTGTTTCATTGAGACACCACATAATACAGCTAACTGGTCTACATCATACTGTATAGTATATGTTTGATGTCTTAACACACTTAGCACAAGCAAGTGACATTTTAAATTGACTTGCATTTCTAAAGACTATTTTCTGTCAGTCTTGATTTCAGGAGAACTAGTCACAAGAGTTAGTTGCTTCTCAGCTGGAGTGGTCTGTCAGAGACAAGTTCTTGATTCTGATACTACAATAGTGATTCATTAAGCTATAGAACTGCTTTGGACACATATACCTCTTTTCTCCCAGATCTGTCTATTTCTGTCTAAACTAAAATCTCACTCTGTCTCCCCCAGAGTTATGCTTATCTACCATCACAAAATAACATGTCCAAAACTCTTGATTTTTCCTTCAAGCTTTGTGAGACGTCTGTGATCCTGATGATGGTGGATCCCATGCCCATTTGGCTTGTTTCCCTAGCCTGTGACTCTGTGTTAGACCAAGCCTTTCCCCAAGTCCTTGCCTACAGCCTTCATTTAAATTTTCCAGGTTCCTTCTGTATAGTATCATCAAGGTATGGGTTTTACACAGAAATAACTGCTCCACAGACTTTGATCTTCTCATATCTGTTCGTTCAATGACTTCTCCTCTGTGGAAAACATAATGAGCCAGCTCATATCCATCTGCCAGAAAGATCTTTCAGATATCTTCAACCAGAACTTACAGGAGCTTATTATCTCATCTATGTTTCCTTCTACTTCTAGAGGCCTACTGCATCAAGCATAACCAACTTGTGCTAACTCTGAAAGCCTTTCTCTTTGTTAAC